TTGACAAAAAAGAAGGGAAAAGAGAAAGAAAAAAGAAAATATAAATTAAAAAATGCCAAAAAATTAGGTCATTTTTTCCGCTTTATAGAATTGGATGAAGAATAGATAAAAAATCTAAAAGAGATACATACTTCTACTTTTGCGCTACCTATAAAAGGACATTACATTTCTTTTGCGCCATTCCCATTTCTTTCAAACTATCAATTTACTCTTCAACAAAAAATTCCTGTGTAAAATTTTATTTTGTTAACACACAAGGACAATTCAATCTTATGAGATGCATTTTGTGAGACTGCGTAAAGTAACCAACAATCAGTTTTTTTTAAAAAATCCATCTCTCTCTCTCTCTCTCTCTGTCTTTCTCTTTTTTCTTTCTTTCTTTTTCCTTCCCCTTCTTCTTAGCATTTTTAAAGAAAATATTTCCAATGAAAGGTTTATTTCTTTAAAAATTGAAATAATTATAGGTAATGTAAATAACCGTTTTTTTTCTTTTTTTTTTTTTTTTTTTCAAAACAATACACACAGAGTGTGTGAAGTAGAACGAACGAATAACAATTGCGATTATCTAAAATTTAATTTAAAACTTCTTTTTCTAGAATAGCTAAACTAATTGACATTTTTGTTCTTTTTGAACATTTTAAAAATTCACATAAAATATTAATGATGCAAGACAAAAAAAAAAGACTCAGCTATGTCAAAATTAGCCTATTAAATATAGCTAAGTTTAAAATTCGTACAAGATATGTGATAAATCACTATACAAATGATTATCATAATATGTAAATCATATTCATAAATTGCTCAAAACAAAGCAAAGAGATCAATAAATAAAATAAGCAATAAAATACAAGAAGAAAAGCTTTTATAATTTCATGACAAGAAATGAATTTAATAATTTTTACTACTAAAATAATATTATATGAATTTTGTACATTTAAATGATAATTTTAAAGAATGTAATCAATTGTGAAGATAATTGTTGGAACAAAAATTTAAAAATGACAATGAAATGTTTGACGAGAAATTTATATGAAAGGAGGAGTTGCTGTTAGTGTGCCATTTGGAGTGACCTTGCGCATTTCTGTATTCGATGTTTGTAAAAGGGAAATGAGATTTATACCATTGATAAATGTGATCTGTTAAATAAAATGATAGTGACACCATTATCTATCTATCTGTCGTATGGCTATGCTAACAAGGTTAATTTATTTGATAGGTAAGATTTAATGAATTGGTTTTGATATGATACCTTTTATTAAAGAAATTAAAATTTGCTGTTTCGATTAAATATTGTTTCTGCTTTTTTTTTTGCTTTTTTTTCAGCCATTTTAAAAAAATTATGGAAATATTATAATTGGAGTAGAATTTTTAAGCTAAAACAATTAAATTATTTAAATGGGATTTTTACGTTAAAAGAATTTCTACTATGTAGTATAAAGCGAATAAATTAATGCAATTATCTTTCACAGTTAATTGGAATATTTTACTTCATTTTTGTTAATCATAAAATCAATCATACAAATTATAAAATGTTCATTTATCAATTCAACTATGAACTTTAAAAGGACAAATGATTACTGTAAATCAAAACAAAATTATGAGTGAAAACATTATTACTACTAATAATACTAAAAAAGTAAAATGAAATCAGTAATATCACTAAAACAGTTAAGCCATCTATTTTTAAAACAAAAAGAAATCAAAAATAAGATGAAACAAACGAGCTACACTATGAATATGAAAAAACTATAAAAAGATATTAATAAAAGAACCAAAAATAAATAAATAAATCTCAAAATTATGAGTGAAAACAAAACTAAAACAATTTTAAAACTCAGATACATAAACCTACTTACCATCGAGTAAAAAAAAAAAAAAAAAAAATAAAACTAAAAAAAATAAAGCATATCAAACAAAAAAAGCTTTTTACTGTAAATAAAAAATTCTAATAAGAAACTAAAAAGCTAAAAAAACGACAAATTCAGTCAGTAGATACAGATCATATTAAAAATATACACTAAATCTTTAAAAATAAATTGAAAAAAAGTAGCTAAAAGCTCTATAAATTTTATTTTAAAATTTAACATAAATCAGTAAAGTTAAAGACACAGATAAAAAAAAGTTTTCAAAACTCAAAAAAAAAAAATAATTCAAAGCCAAAAAAAATAAAGTGATTTGCAATCAAACATATTAAAAATTATGCTAAAAGCATACTAACTTACTAAAAATATCACAAAAAATTACCAAATTAACTAAAATATTACTTTGTATATAATATTTTGCATTGAAATTAAAAATAGCATTTAAAAAGTGAGAAAAAAAACAAAAATATTATAAAAATCCTTTTGAATCAAAATAGCAAAAATAATAACTTCTAATTTAGAAGTAACAAATATCAAAACAATAGAGAAAAACAGTAATAGGAATTTGAATATCGAGATAATTTTTAAAACTAAAAGTAATATAAAAATTTCATTGAATTCAAAAAAAATTATTAAAATTATTTATTATTTGATAGTTCCCATTTTTTGGTAAGCAAAGTAGGTAATAAAAAATAAAATTTCTTCTTGATATTTAAATAATGCTAAAAAATATTATCTTATAAGCAGTAAAACAATTGAAATGGGAAAGAATGGAAACGGAAACGGAGATGGATGCATCCGGAAAATGTTATTGATAACAATTAAGGGAAAATTATTTAGATTTTTTGACTTTTTCAAAAGAAAAAATAATAATCTTTTACAAAAGAAGAAAAGGAAATTATTGCTTAATCATCAAAATGAATGAATTTTTTCTTCTGCAACAAATTTTTGTTTCATTTTGAACTTTAAATTAATTTCATTCAAAAATATATAAACCTCAATTTTTGTCATTATATGCTGCAATGCAATCAACAAATTATTGGAGAATTTGTCTACCAGAAGTTATTAATTTTAAAATTTGCAGTTATTTGTGTGACAATACCAAAGATTTCTAACTTGAAAGTTGTTGAAGAAATGGGAAATTACAAATTTATCATATTGATAATTTGCTTATTTATCACTATTTGCTGCATTCCAACACTCAATTTTTCTAAGGTAGTAATTATTCATTTCTTGAAAAGGTATTTCATGAAAAAAAAATTTTCGAAATTTGTCAATTTATCAAAAATGACATTTACATTTTTTTTTCTTTTGAACAAAATCGATAGGAATTTGAAATGACTGAAAGAAAGCTTCATTTGTTTTAAAAATTCTAATTAGTATTAGTATAATGTGTTTATTATTGCAGTGTAATATATTAATTAACAATATATGGTATGACGATTTCATTTCATCGATAAATTTAACAGTGTTCCAAATCATTAAATGACAAAAGTCTTATTTTATTCTGTCATAAAAGTTTATCTGATTGCCACTAATTATTAGGTGGTTGATCAACAGATTAAATTATAAACATTTTATTTACCAGGTCGATGAAAGAGAGAAATATTGATTAGAAGAGAGAAAAATGGACAGAAACATTAAAGCTTATTAATAATTTGTTCAAATTTAAATTACATATTTTTCTTTAAATTCACTGAAATTTAAATTACACTTCCTTAAGCTATATAAGCTGAATTATTTAGACTAAAATTTAAGTAAGTTAGAATTCAACTCCAGAAAAAACTGCATAGAATTAATTATAATACAATGCTTATCATAAAGATAATGATGCTAAGTGTTTTGTTATAATCAACAATAAGTTAAAAATTAGATTAAATTCGAGATAATGAAATGAAGGAAAATTTGACCATTTGATAAGAAGTGAAAGTGTCATTTCAAGGACTACATTCATATCAGTCTCATTTCAATCATTTTTTTTTAAAGGAAATTTAATAAGACGTGACTTGTTTTAGAAAAGAATTTCATGGAATCGAGTACAAACAATTGCACATCAAATGAATATATATAATAATTTGATAAGTTTTCTTTAAAATCATTTAGCTTATCACCTTACATTATTATTTGCATTTCTCATCTGAATTCTAACATTTTTTACGAACCTAACGATCCAGAACGGATCATCTTTGAGCAAATTTGTGATGGACATTCATTGATTTCACTTGGCGCTTGTAGCAATGCTTATATTCGATGTTTCTATAATTCAACTGGTCATTCCATATTGGCTATTCTTGAAGAATGTCCAATTGGAAAAGTTCGTCAAATTATACTATGCCATTTTTACACTATTATTTAATCAATTTTGTAATAAATAATGAAAATTTGAACCTTTTAATATATCGTCAAAAATATTGATGAAAAAAAGTTGAAATTAGAAACTGTGTAAATTTTTTTTTATGAAGATTTTTAATGGAGCATTTTGTGAAATTCCACGAAATAATTGTATAAACATATGGAGCCAACGAATGGGAAAAATTAATTCTGAAACAGAAATGCTTTTTGAGGTATTTTAAATAATTATTACAACTATAATTAAATAAATTTTTAATGAAATTTTCCATTTACTGTAATGGTTGTTTTTAAAAAAATAGAGACAAATTTGATTCAAATCAAAAACAAATGGAATTTTTTTTTTTTTTTTGTAGCTGATTAAGTGCAATGTCTTCTTCTGTCATTCATCAACAACTTTTCTCTTTGCAGGAAATGAATTTCTGTTACGATGGTGGTTCTGGAATATATATGTTTCCAAAGATTATATGCTCTCGACAAGCATATGTCTGCAAAAATCAAAACGAAGGATTTGCAATCACATGTCTACCAGGTAAGCATAAAATTTTACTAGCTTATATGCTTATATTTATGTTTAAATTTGTCGCTTACAATACCTGTAATTCTTTACCTAATAGGTGCAAATTTTCTTGGTAACTTATAAACAACTTTTCATGCAAGTAATTTTTCGCGAAATTATTTGTTTTTGTTCGTTTTCTATGTTTAATTTTGGTTTGTAATTTAAGAATAAACAAATTGAAGCATTTTTTCATTTATTTATCTTTACTGCACTATTCTATAGGAATGATAATGTTAAGACGACCATTCGGTTGCTTTGTTTATCCTCCAAGTTGTGCATCCGATAAAATTTCAATGAAACAATCTGCTCCTCTAAGACAACATGCCATTGAAATGTACTGTGATCAGCAATACTTTACAAAACGGAATAACAGAGTAATGATGCTTCCGAAGATACAATGCACCAGTTGGTGAATTTCATTATTTTGGTTTAATCGTATTACTTTTGTTTCTTTAAATTTGAAAGTTTTTGAACTTGTAAGGCATGGAAAGTTAAGTGCTCAATTTTTGAAAATTTCGTTGAAAACAATGACTTATTAGAATAAAAAATTTAAAGCATTCTAAATTTATATCAATTAAGTAAAATACTAATTGAACAATTTAATATCGAAATTATCAGATGTTATATGTTATTCGACAAATTTCTAACATCTAACAGACACGACAAATTTTCGAATTTTGCATTAATAAATCGCCTTATTTAAATAAATATGATTGGCATTTATTTAAAAAAAGAAAATATTCAAATTAGAAAAAAAAAACTTAGCAAAAGTACTAACTGCTATTATTGATAGTAAATCCCAATGCCATAATATTATTGAAGTAGTAATTGAAATTTGATAAGTAAAACAAGAGAGTAGGAGATTTTTTCCTGAAGAATGTTTGCAATTTATTAAAATTATTAGTTATGCCAGGAAAATTTAGGTATGTTGGATGTGGCAAATTAATTAAAGATATTATTTATTGTGAAAATGGATTCATTTATGATGTAAAATTGCGAAAATGTAGACAACGAAACAACAAAGATCATTGCATAATGCCAGATTTATGCAAGTAGTTTTAATTTTAAAAATATAAATTTAAAAAATAACTTCCCACATGTTTTTTTGTAATATATAGAAAAAAGAGATTTAAGAAATTATAATCCTAGATATTACGTATATTTAGTACCTTACTCTTTCTTTTAATTTTAATAATGATATAATTTTATGCTAATGAAAAATTTCGTGAAATTTGCAATCCATTACTACATTTTTTTTCACGGTTCATTTATTTCATTAATCTTTCGTGGATTTATGATTATATTTAAGAGAAATGAGAATACATTCACGAATGTCAAGCATAAACTGATTTTAGAAATCGAAAATGGCGAACGATATCGTTGGGTAATTGTGACAGACAATTCGTATATTGTCGAGACCAAGTACCAGAGAAATTCGTTTGCTCCGAAGGTTTCATCTTCTTTAACGATCGCTGCGTACCAATGTATCAGACTAGTAGTGAGTGCTGGAAGTGTCAAAATGGCCAGAAACGACATACCTCACTTCATTCATGCAATGAAGTGATTAATTCGATTTTCTTTTACCATCTTTATTTTAAATTCTTTTTGGTGTAACAAATTTGATCGTATAGTTAGGGTAAATATTTAAAAAGTCTGATAGGAATGACAATTTTTTCTTTTTTTCTATTACAATCAGGATTAAAAATATTATCAAATTTAAAAGAATTACTGCAAAATCTCATTAAGTAATAAAACTTTATTTTTTAGTATTCTGTTTGTCAGAATGGTCATTGGGAGGACCGTACCTGCCCGACTGGAATGATCTATTTTGAAGCTAATCAAATGTGTCAAGCAGATCCATCCTGTGCTCATCCATTTGTAAGTGTTTGTTGTTATCTAAATCAAAATGTTTATATATTTACTACTATCAACAATTTCTAAATTGAACTACTTTTATTTCTACAACTTTCTAAATTCATGTATTTTTAATTTTACAAATATAAAACAGTAATGTTATCTTTCACCTTTCAATCATTTTATTTCCATGCTTTGCATAATTTGATAGGAATTTTTGGATAGAAATTGAAATTTAATTCAAATAGCAAGATTTTATAAGAAATGAAATGATGTTTTGTAATATCTTTAGTCAGTTTGTAGAAATGTAAAGTAGGCACGTCGTTTCAATTGAAATGCAACGAATATTTGATCTGTTCGTCGAATGGTATCGTTGAGCATCGTTTCTGTCCACCATTTTATCGATGGGACAATCGAGCGCTATTGTGCATTCCCGATAACAATTGCTTATCTTCATCGGTTTTTTTTTTCTTTGCGAAAGATTGAAATCGAAGAAGATAGATCAAAAGAAGTGAAATTGCTGATCAAACTGCAATACATATAAACTGATAAAAAATCTGATAGTGTCACGAATTATCATGAAAAATCGAAATTCAATAACACAAAATCATATTTGGTAATTGTTCAAATGAATTCAAATTTGTAATTCAGTTAGTAGAGATTCGATAAAACGTTTCTTATATATCTTTATAATACATTTCTTTATAGAATAAACCATGTAGAGAGGGCGCAGTTATTGACAGTTTTGATTGTAAATTTTATTATCAATGTTCTGGTGGCAAATGGCATAAAATGTCATGTGTGGCGTATCCGGCTGGTAATTATTCTATCATTAATAATTTATTTCCTTTTTTAAAATTTTGAATAAAATTTGGTTTAGATTTTCAGTTGCTATTTGTGCAAAAATCTTTCAGTTGATGAATTTCCCAAATAATCTATTTGAATAAATTTAGTTAATTTAAGTTAATTCGAATATATTATTCATTGACATTTTGTAGGTGCAATATTTTGTTCTAATTATAGATTAACTTTGATGATAAATAGTATTATTACCGAGGATGTAATTTAATTTCAAATAATGAATATTATAGCAGAATTGTGTAAAGTATGCCGCCATCATAGTGACAATGTCGCATGGCAAGCGGAAGAGAGATGTGACGAAGGTGATACGGTAGCTAATCCGCAAGACTGCAGAAATTATGCGATATGCAACGGAAGGAGGTGGACGAGTATGTGGTGTGAAGTTGGCACTTTTTGGAATCAAAATTTAAAACGTTGTTATCATATCACTGATTGTAAAGCATTCAAGCGTGTAGAATGCAATCATGGACAGGTCAAGGGTCATTCTTCAGTTCCATTTACATTTGTTCAATATATTTTGAAAAAACATAATTTTTAAAAATATGCTAGAATAAAAGAATAAAGTACGTTTGTTGCTGCTTAAAAATTTATCTGAGATGTTTGGCAAAATGATTGATTGTTTGATTTAGTTTAATAAATTACTATTTTTTAAAGTAGTAATTTATTAAAAGAACAAAACAAAAAACAAAAAAAAAAAAAAAACATTAAATTTTAGTATTTGATTGGTGATATATGCAATGAATATTTGAAATGTCTGCAAGGCTCTTGGATAACAATGAAATGCCTCCCGGGATATGCTTTTGGTAAATTTTTTAGAAATGAAGATTCTCTTTTTTTAAACATCCAATATCTTATCTTAATAAAACTTAACGAAAGAAGAAATAGAAAGAGAGGAAGAGAAACAGACAGAAAGGGAAAGACTGAGCTATTAATCTTCGTTTAATTATTTCAATGTTAAGCCGAATAGCTACATTTTTAACATATATGAATTAAAGAAGGTACAATAACTACTAATTATGGAAAACCTTAAGTTTTTTATTGTTTTTGGAATTAAACTAATGTTTTTTTTTCAATTTAAAGTCTTTTTTCAACTTTTAGAAATAAATTAAAATTCAACAAGAAAAAAAAAACTGATCAAAAATTGAGGTTTCACATAAAAAATTATTATAGGTAATGTTATATTTTCACAAACGTAAAAGTAAATGAATTATTAATTTACTTATTATTTAGACGTAATTACGAAGAAGTGTGTTATTTCGAATGAATGCTTATCATCGAACAATAATAATTATCTAAGTGTAATAGACAACGATATTACTGATCCACCAGTATCACTTTTTCAATTAGAAACAAAGTTGGAAGAGAATCAACAGCTACATAGGGTAATTTAATTAAAATTAATTATTCATAATAAAATTAATAAATTCATAATTTACAACCTTCTAATCATATTTCTTGTAAAATAGCGAAAGCACAGTTGTAGCCTTGTCAGTTTGGTAGTAAAATTCGTAATGAATATGACTGTAATCGATATTTTGAATGTACAATGGATGAATATAAGGATCGATATTGTAATGGTAATCATGAATTTAATGATGAAAGTGGAAAATGTGAAAGAGAGTAAGAAATTTAAACTATTATTATTGCTTATCAGGAAAAAGATTGTATAATAATACAGTTTGTTTTTTCTGTTCTACTTTTTCTTTCATAAATTTTAAACATTTGAAATTAAATTGAGTGATTAGGATTTAGTATTGCACTTAAAAAAAGACAATTAAGAATGAATTTTTTTTTTAAATTCATATTTAGATATCATTGTGATTTATCACGTTGTCGTAATGGAAGAATAATTGAAAGTGAAATATGTGGTCATTATCAAATTTGTGTCAATGGTACATGGCAGAGGAAAGTATGTGAAAATAATCGACAATTCATTGATGGATATTGTCAAACAGTACATTGTAACAATGATAATAATGGTTCGTAAAAGTTTTCTTTTCTTTTTTTCTTCTTAATTTCTTATTTTTAATTATTTTCTCTTAATTCATGCTATTAAAATGGTGTAACATTCAAATGCTATGTGACAAACGAATATTGCAATCATTACTGTAGCAATCAATATCATTTGAGATAGTATCATTGTATGGTTAATTAATTAATTTGGTATGAAAATTTACTCCAACTACTTTATTCAAAGATTAAATGAAAATGCTACAGAAACGACAAATTTATGACAATCTTTTTCAGCTATCTTATCAGCACTATCGTCATCATGCAAAGAGGGTAGTGTCCTGGCTGATAATATCAACTGTAAGCGTTACTTTATATGTAGACAGGGTCGATTTCAACAGCAATTTTGCTGGAATGGTGCAACATTTGATAAAAAGGTCTCGTATCCATTCATTTAAGCATCCTACAGACATTCATTCTTATTGTTGACTGTAACAGTTTCTTTGCACAACTGCAAATATCAATCTATTCTCTTAACTTTAAACTCTTTATAAAATTTAAATTATTTTGAAATACTTCTCCATTCCTTTCTTGTACTTTTATTCCTTCTTATTATTTTTAGCAAAAGAAAATTTTAAGCGTGGCTATTGCGTACGAGATACAATTTGCATGTCAGAAGGAAGCTGCATTGAAGATACTATACAGGCTGATAAACAGGACCGCACTGCTTATCAAATTTGCAGTGATGGTAAATTCGAATCATATTCCTGTCCTTATGGCCTAGTTTATATTCCTAGCAAAAGAAAATGTGAAAGAGATAATGTTATTGATGGCGAAAGGTACGAAACTTGCAAGGTGCGAATTATCCCTAAAAAAATTTTAAAAAATTTAGTTTTTAAAATCTTCATTAATTACCGATGCAAAATTACTCTCTTAAAGAGGAGTGTATAATCCATTTAAGTATTTTTGTATTATTTGCGTTTATCAATGAAAAAAAAAAAAGGAATTTCAGGAAAGCGGTGGTCCTACTGGTTATAGAGCAGACCCAAACGACTGTCACAAATTTTACCAATGTGCTCATGGGAAATGGGTCTCCAAAGCTTGTCCAGATAAATTATACTGGAATATGGAAAAAACGACATGCGACTGGCTTCCTGGTGATGACTCCTGCAAAAATCGTATTACTCATGTCTTACTGTAATCATTAAAATTCTTTTCGCTCGCAAAAATGGATTTCAGATTCAAATTGATTCTGAAAACTCCAAGTATTTTCTGATTTTTGACATTGACATTTAGCATATTGTATGTGAAATTCTTTTGCTTATTTCATATTTTATTATTTATGCTAGAAACTGAAAATTCTTTCCATTTCAGAAAAAAAAAATCGTATTTAGATTTTTTCTGGACGGCTTTCCCTACAGAAAGAAGCAAGGAAGTGATGCACAGGATGAAAAAGATCCTATATAAATAAGTCACACAAGCACAAAGCCAGTGAAAATGAGGCAAAACAAAGAATCGTGGTGAATTTAAGACAAATGCCATTAAGGCTTCTACAAAACATAAATGATCCGTACGTATTATAGTCACAATAATATAACCAGAACTGCTGGTAAAATACTGGGATTCCCAAATTTTAACTTTTAATAATGCAATTTGGGTAAAGTCATACGAACCAAAAGTAGGCCGGTATGACTTCATATTTGGCATTTGCTGCTCATAGGTTCGTGTGATATATATTTTGCTCATATGCACCATTCATTTTATACAAACATAGGAATGAATTTTTTTTCAGAAAATGCAAGAACCACAATGAATAATTTCTTTAATCAGAAAATTCTACTCTAAGCAATTTAAATTTTCCCTGATATACATAATAAAACCACGTTGAAAAAGAAACTTGAATACATAGACCGAAGAAAAGAGAGAAAGGATGCAGCAAAGAAAGAAATAAGCTAACAAAGGAATTTCTGATAAAATATGAATTTCTCCTCCTGCATAAACAAAAAATGATGGAGAAATAAAATAAGAGAAACAGAAATGGCAAATTATCACAGCGAATAATATAATCAGTGGGAAAGTTATATTTTGGCAATCTGAAAAGGTTAGCAAGTCACGAAAACTAACATTTCTACCGGGAAAATGAAATAGAGAAAAAATGGAAAGATGAAACAAAACAAGGGAGAAAGATGAAAATAAATAATAGTAAAATCGGTTAATAGTAAAACGGCAGGCGCAGCAAATATTACATGTAAATATTGTTCCCTTATGTAATAAGTCTTTCCTATATTAGTGCGAAATTAGCGATTAATAAACTAACTGGTCAGAAATTAATTAATCAATTAATCCGATATAAAATCATCTTTATATATATATATATATATATATATATAAAGATGATTAATTAATTTTCAATGTACACCTGCATACAGCATATATGACATGTATAATGAATGTACAAAATCCGTTGGTTCAATAAGATAAAGAAAAATTATACTGAGAAAAGCAGTATAATTAGAGCCCTGGTTTTATTCGACACAAAAAAAAAGTCAAAATTATACTTTAAAAAATCACAAAAAACACACAAAAAATCGAAAAATGAAAAGGAACCCCTGAAAATCACATTCGAGATGGAAATTAATAATACATACGGAAATTAATAATGAACACAATAATACATACATACATATATACCTATGGTGGGTGCTAGAGCAAAAGATTGAAAAAACGAGAGAATTTTTTCAAAATTACCACTTCTTCCCATTGCTGCTGAAAAAAGCAGCCATATTATAGAATGTTTTTCTCTACAACATCAGTTAATAATGTTTTCATAAACCAATAGCACTATTATCTATCTGTTGCTACTACTACCATTACCAGTCCTACTACTAATAGAAATATTACAGTAACTATCACAAAGAAAATTATAATGTTCAGCTGTGAAACGGAACGACACAAAGAATGAAGTCGAACAGAAATTACATTGGCATAAATTATACCAAAACTGTTCGACAGTGAGTGTGCATACCCCGAAAAGGTATACAATACCAACTATCTTTTAAGCATTTATACTAGATCACCCGCTAATCGCATTATTGGAAAAAATAAATCGATACATACTGCTTTAACAGATAGAACGTTACAAGGGATTCGTCTACTATACTTGCTACCTACAATCGAAAAACTGAACATAATTTCACTCGGAAGTTCGATGTGCCTATATTTTTTTTAAGGTGCTCCCAAATAGAAAAAAGACTAATCCTTATAGAAATTTAAATGCCTATATAACAAACCCGAGTTGTAAATAAAATATATTATTTCCTACTTTAAAATTGTTTTCTCTGATTAGTTTTTAAAAGCTTTTATCCTTCTTTGTCCTAACTTATTTCTCTGCAACATATGCATTGCAGGCAATGCCTTTAGTTGGGTTTAACCCAAAATGATCATGAAATTCTCTTCTCTTCATAAGTGAACGCTAAAAAATTCAAACATACACACACGACAAACTATGTGCGCATTATTACCTATATTGGAGAAGATTAAAATGACAATGAAAAAGGCAGCAACTAAACAAATCTAATAATTCTAACCGTGGAAATACCGTTTTTGGAAATGAAAATATGCTTCTCCCAAATACAAAAATTCAGTGTTTCAGAAATCTCACTAGATTTTTGAAGTCGTATTTCTCCTCTTATTTTAGATTCATGTACTGTCATCCTTCTGCTAGCAAAAAAGATGCAAAAAGTAACCCGAACGAAAATTAAAAAACCTAACCAGACATAAGATCCTCGAAAGAAGAAATACAAACTCAGCTTGTTCAATGAAAGCAAAATGATAGAGTATTGTTCGCTATCTTTAATTCCCTGAAGGCGCATGAACTGCAAATCCCGCTAAATACACTACCCAAACATGAACATGGTAAGGCTATTTTTCTGAAAAGCTACTTAAAATGAAATACCATTCGATATTTTCGAAAATTGTTCAAAAAGTAATGAAAGACAGAATGGATTCGACAGAGAAGCAAATTTTGCTTTCTTGTAGGTTTTCCAAAAAAAAAAAGAAAAAAAAATATTATGTTGAGTAAGGATGAATACCCAATTTTCAAAAGTTTTGGAATTTCTGTTACTATTCTTCACAAATTTTTACATGCAGATAAGCAGATAGTATGCTCAATAATTTCATATGAACAACTATCGACTTTTGTTCATAAAACCTGGAACTAATAATATTTCTCTAATTAATTTCTGTTAGGAATCTATTTCTTTCAGAATAGAATTCGTCCCTTACAATATAACCAGATCATTCTTAAGATGAATTTTTTAAATTTGTCATTAGATAAACACCTAACTGAAAAGAAAGCTTATAAAAGTAATCAATTAGTTCTAATCTATTAGTGGAATTTCTAATCTAAGCAAAATTTGTACTAAACAAAAAAATGAATAAGATGAATAATAAAAATGATCGAAAAATAAAAAGAGATGAAAGGAAAGTTTTATGACAATTTTGACTAATATTATTAACAGTTATCAATTATCGTACAAAAATCTTATACAAATACATGCACGATTTCTAAAAAACAGCAGAAAAGACAAAATGATAAGAGCGGTAGAGCAATAATAATAAATAATACCCTCTTTTATTACTTGCCACAACAAATGTTTCCAGAAGTCCTCTGCAAAAACTAGAAGCAAATAACCAACCCTGTGACTGTTCGATCTTTAATCTCGCATTACAGCAAATAATTTCGAAGCCAAACGATGTGACAGAAACACTGCAAAATAAATGGTATTAAACTTTTCGCAAATTTTTTCATTCTCTAATAATGCTTTAGATATTTATACTTTAAAATTTTCCACACCTATCTGCTTTCTTCAGAGGTAGAAAGAATATCTATGTCAATTTGAATTAAGTAAATGAAAAAAAAAAAAAAAAAACTTGAATTCTTTAAAAATTCATTAAAAGGAACAGCTGAAAACTGAATTTGCTCAGTCTTCTACATTGCTGAATCTTACTGCTTTAAATTAGCACAGATCGTTCTAAAATAAAAATATCCATTTTCACTTCACTTTGACACTTACCTCTTTCTTACGTGTTTGTTGATAACTTCCTACTGTGATTTCTCTCTGACTTACTCAAAATCAATTAAATGATTTATAAAAAAACAAATTAGTGAGGTTTTCTTGAGTTCCAAATATCAGATTAGAATTTCAAGAGATATTATTTGAGTCAAAAATGTCTACTTTGAATTTCAAGATAACTCAAGTGTGTACTGCAATGATGTTTCGAAAAGCTTTGAAAAGTAAGCAAGAGCGTTAATGGGGAATGCTACATTCTTAAGAGATGAGATTATAAAAAATCTGTGTAAAAAATAAAAATTAATAAAAATACTTGGATTAATAAAAATTTGCTCAAACTAGTTATAACGGTTTTAAATACACGATTCAAAGTGCAATTATTTTTATGGCAACCTTTTATTCTTAATAAAAAAAAAGACGCACAGTTTCAAATTCAAAATTATTTAAAATGGTTTTGGGGAGATTCAGAGATTTCATAGCTGCTAATAAAATCTGAGTACTTTAAATCATCATTCAAATGTTCAAAACAAAAAAAATGCATTCATTGAATGAAATTTTCGCTTGTATTAAATTATATCAAATCTAATTTACAACCTAAGATAAAAATTGTAGCTGTACAAACCGACTATCACAACGCTGATTTATGTCTACGTCGCTTTAGACGTCGACGCATGTCAAGTAATGCCAGCTCCTCGGTCGGAATTTCATGCGACGGTGCGGATCGAACACCAGGCCTTCTTTCAGCACGAATAACAGGTGGTAAACGTTGACGAGTTGCTTGTACTAACGATGCAGGCCGCGAAAATTGCTGTATGCCAGATGTACCTGGTACTGATCCTCCTCTACTGCTACTATGAGGACGAATGGTACTCCTGACACTTGTTCCGCTTGTTTCACCACCTTCCACATGACGTAATGTTATACATACATCACCCACCTGTAAAATATGTTTTGATGACACGACTAAACGAGTTCCCAAGTGCTTATTTAAGATACAAAACGATCGCCCTATTGTTGTCAAAAAACCAATTTAGTTCTCATTGCAGTGAACTCTTTCACGAATATGAATAAAAATATTATGTTCAGCAAAGCTAAGAAAATAAAGTGCGAAACCTAATCACTCAAAAGC